CCGGGTCCCGGCAGCGGGAGCGAAGCCCCCCGGCACCGAGACCGAGATATCACCGGGCACCGCACCGGGACCAGCACCGGGACGTCGGGCAAAGACACCCCCGGGCACTGGGACCAAGACACCGCTGGGCACCGGGACCGCGGCACCCCCGGGCACCGGGACCGAAGCTCCCGGGCTCCGATCGCCGGGCTGCGATGCTTCCCGGGGCGGGTCCCCTCGCCTTCCTCCTCCGGTGCCTACTGCTCCTCTTCGCCGCCGAAAACAGAGCCCGGGCTCGTAAGTCCCCCTCGCTCCCCTCTCGGCTGCGCTGGGTCCATCCGTGCCTCAGTTTCCCCATCACCGGTGTCCTCAAGAAGTTGTGGGGGGAAGAGGGGCTTTGCCGGCATGGCTAGGGGCACGGGGAGGCTCCTCGCCGTGGCAGGTGCTAGTCCTCCGTGGCCAGGATGGTCCCCCACCCTGCACTGTTGGGGATGTGGCTGTGTCTCCCTCCACCCGCTGCTGTCCCTGGCTGCTTTGCGGGGATGTACGGTGCCGAGCACACTGCTGCGTGCTGGTGAGGGGGCTGTGGGGTTTCGTGGGCTGGAAGGGACATGCTGAAGGTCTTGGACCCCTCCCTCCCATGGGCTAAAGATCGCACGGGGCAGGAGGTTGAATTGCAGCCCTTCCCCTGCACGGATGCCACCCTGCAGGGGTCCATGTCCCCTCTGAGGGTGGACAGGGACATGGGCAGTTTGGGGAAATGATCCCCTCAAACCAAATGTGGGGTCTTTTCTCCATCTCCATCCCTTGTCCATCTCCATGCTAATCCCTTGTTCTCTCCTTGCTCCTGCTCCCAGCTGGCTGACTGGGGCAGGTAAGATTTGGGATGGGGAAAGGAAAGGAGGTTCAGCACTTCCTTGTACAGAAAGGCTTGAAGGGCTTGGCCAGGGCTGTTTAGCAGCTTGGTGGGTTCTGGAGGTGTTAATCGGGGCCAGGAGGTAGGTTTGGCTTGGACAAGGCACTGGGACCCCACCAACGGGTGCTGGGCACCCCTATGACATCGCAAAGTCACCTGAGCACGGCACAAACCAGAGCAGGACCCGTTGTGTCCCTACGTTTATCCTCCCCTTTAATCTCCTAAAATCCCAGTAGAGTCTGTCGGTGGCTGCATTAAGATGATTTACGACTCGCCCGCTGCCAGCAGTGCGTTAGGCACTCGGCAAATAATCGGCCTCCTGGAGCGCCGACCCAAAATGTGAGCGCTGGATTGCTTGTCCCAGCGGTGGGGCGCGCTGGGGGAGGGAAAGGCGGGCGGCTGAATGGGGCTGTGCAGAGCCTTGGAGAGCAAAATCCGGGTGAGTTTGGCTCCTTTCCCTTCCCTGGGCTCATCGAAAGCCGCCGAGCTCAGACCGCAGCATCCGTTTGTTGTGTGAGGGATGTGGGTCCGATTCCCTGCCTCTGCCAGGGCTGCGTTAACCGTGATACCCACGTTAGGAGGAAGATGGAGACATCTCCAGAAGGTGAAACAGAAGCTAGGTGAGGTGTTCGCTCTTCGGAGGTGCCTGCTGATGGTGGCAGAGCTCCTAAATTGGGCGTAAACCAGGATGAATGGGGACAGTAGGGGTTTGTCTGCTTTGGGAGGAAGCGCTGGGGTCTGTTTGTGGGATTTATAATGGTGCTAAAGGGCTGGGGACTGCGGGACAGGGACAGGATTGGAACAGGGAGGTCCGGGATCGTCCCTCAGCTCCGCATCGCTTGGGCTCTGCCACCGGCTGCATCCCGCTGTGCAGTGCGGGGGGCTCGGCTGGGGCTCCAGATGCTCCCGTGGTCGAGGGCAGGGGGTCTCGGTGGCAAGGTCTGCATCAAATCGTGGACTTTTCTCCGCTGTCCACCTCTGCAGCGCACTGCCTCACATTTTTCTCGGGGCCGAGTGCTCAGGGAGAACGAAGACAGGAATAAATTAGTTACGAGCAGGCTCATCAGCCAAGAGACCTACAGTGTCGTGGCTAAAAATAGGTGAGAAGCAGAAACGCTCGGGCTTGAAGGCAAGTCAGAAAAGAAGAATTTGCCCGCAGAAACAGGCTATTTTAGGGGATTTACACTCTCAGCTGAAAAAATAACAGAGGCACAGGTTACTGGGCCGAATGTGCTGCAGCCTGGCCACTATGAGTAATTCAGCGGCAATAGTTGAACGCAATGATGTTTTGGCTGGAGGCATTTAAACACCAGCATCTCTGGAGAGCGCGGGGCAGTGGCTTTCTCCAGGAGCTTGGAAGTTGCCATTTCATTTCTTTTTAACGTGGTCCCTGGAGAAAAGGGTGTTCGTGGGATCTGTCAGTCCTACGAGTTGGGATCCAACCTGATGAGGGACTGAGCGGTCCGAGACGGGAAGGACCTGGATGAAAAGCAAATCCTGCCAGCGGCCGGGGTAAGGGAGAGGGGAGGGCTGCACGCCCCGCTTTAGATAATCGAGCATCCCCTTGGGAAGGAGAGGAGGGAAATGGGGCCCCGTCTGCTGCTCGCAGAGCCCATGGGGATGCTCTGGGTCCAGGACTTTGCTTGGCTTCTCCCCCCTGGGGAGCTCAGCGACACTTCATGAGGCTGCGTTTGCAGAGCTGCAGAGTTTTCCAGGCTCCCAAAGTTCCGACAAGAAATTCCCAACCCAGGACTGCGCAAGGCGAGCGTGCGGGAAGTGATCTGGATGTGAGTGGAGTCATTAGGATGCCACATGTCAAGGGCCCGGTGTGTTTTAACCAGTCCCTTCGCAGCTAAGTTGCATTTTAAGCCCTTCATAAATACAGGGCTGTCACAGGAGCGCCTGGACTTTGTGTACCAGACACTGCTTTTTACACTTTATTTATGGCCGCTCTTAAAACTCGCAAACTGGTTTGCATAAATGCACCCCCGCATGCCCGGCGCGGGGCTGACTGGCAGGTGCTTGACCTCCGAAAAAGCTGTCGGGGCCAGGAGCCTGGCTCAGACATGCCCTGCTCGGGGGAGAGCTGCGGGGAGACCGTTTGGGGAAGCAGAGATGGAGGAAGGCCCGCTGCGCCACGGCATGAAACGGGGGAGAAGCAGGGTGAGACCTGCGGGATATTTCGGTAGCATCCTTGTTGGAGGCAGTTTGGTACCCAGAGTGAAAATCCCTGCTAGGGAAACTGAGGCACAAGGCTGGTGGAGGCTTTCTGCAGTGGGTGAGCAAATTGGGAGAGGTTGTTACCTTCATTTTCCGCACTTTTGGGGTCTTGCAGGTGCATTAGCCCCTCTCTTGCCACAGGTCGAGGCTTTACCTGCAGCAGGGACTCGCCTCTGGGGACTCCTCAGTGTCCTGTAGCGTGGAGGAGCTCCGATGTAAGTCAGGATCGATGCGTGGTGATCCCACGCATGCAGAGACCCAGCCGGGTAATGGGTGTGCAGATGAGAGCCGTTCCCTGGGCTGATGGAAGAGTGATGTAAAAGCAGCTGTAAACCTCCCATGACCCATCAGGACATCTCTGCTCAGGTCTGGGAAACCCCAACATGGGAGTGGGGAATGTAGGGGCAGGGGCTTGACTTTGCTGAGCATCAGTCCCTATATCCAGAGGGTGTGAGCATGGCTGAGCCTGAGCCAAAAGAGGCTTTGGCAGCAGAACATGGTATTTTGGTGGCCATCATGCTTGCATGTTTAATAGCTCAGTGTAGTTCCTGCTGGTGGGCCTGGGATCAGTGCAAGAGAACATCTGACCTGTTTTGGCCCCTGGTTCAGCCGTGGTCAAAGTGCGCAGGCAGTGGGACAGGTCACACCATGTCGGGAAACCTTTGTCCTCAGAGCCCACTACAGATGTGGAGGTGTGCAAGGAACGGGCTCAAATGGGCTGTGTCAGTGGGCTGGAGAGCTTCAAGGGAGAAGGTCTCATGGAAATGCTGGCCCGAGGGGACTTGTCTGCACCCAAGGCCAGATGTCCGGGGGTGGTCTGACCAACACTGGCCAGTTTGATGGTTCAACAAGGAGGCTGTGTGGTCTTGCCCATCTCCCCTTGGTTCATGGTCTCCCACTGAATCTAAAGCAGGTCATGAAGATGCAGGATGGCATGGTGGATGGTGTATGAAGCTGTTGAGATACGTCCCAAAGAGGCGTCAGGGCCGTTCTCATGGTGTGAGAGGGATGTTAGTGGTCACCAAAGGCAGTGCAGGAAGGGTTTCTCCATGCCATTCAGTTTGTCACCTTAGACTGATGTTTCTAGACCATCTCATGAAGGTGCTGCTCCAGGGGGTTCATAGAGTGTCTCAGAGCCTCCGTGGTATCCTCTTCTGGGGTTTAAATCTCCTGGTAGCTGGAAAGCTTCCTGCAATACCTGTCTTAAATCTTCCAGGATTTGCCCCAAGCTGACTGGTTCTTCTTGTCCCCGCCATGGCCAGAGTTCATCCTTTTCTTTGTAACTTTGTTCTTTCTTGCCTTGTCCTCCCCCTCATACTTTCCATCTCATATTACATACCATCTTTACTGTCCAGGATGCAACTAATAATCATTAATGACAATGTTAATCAAAGTAAACCAGGACTTGGGCACAGCCTTGAGCATTGTTTGGGGGTGTCTGGACTCTTGCTGTGGGTGCTGATGCCAACTTGAGCTTTGAGCTGGCCAAGCCACTGGCCCCAGACCCTGGCCTGGGGTGTTCAGTGGTTTGGTTGTAACCAGGTTCTCCTCAACCAAGAAAACACTGGAGCCACAGCAGAAAATGGCTGTTGGACGAGGAATCAGGGAGAAACCTTCCTCCTCCATGATGTCCCCAGCAGAACTGTTTGGGGTAGGCAAGGCAGAGCAGCTCCTGCATGGAGGAGTAACTCTACGCAGCATCTCCCACCCTCCCTCTGAGCACAGGACTTGCTGCTGGGTGGCAGAGGAATAATTTCCATGGTTTTCAGTTGGTTTTTCTCATTCATAAAACCCATAATGGTACTCTGAAGAGCAGGGTCTTGTCTTCGGGGCTTCTTGTATTTGAGAAGAAACTGATTAGATGGGACCTGTTCCTGGAGGTGTTTGCAATGGGAATTGTTTGCCCCTTCCCACCTCTGCTCCTGCTTCCAGGTCCCGTAGGGCCACCTCCAAGCATGGATCTTCTGGCTTGCAATCAGCAAGCTGTGGTTGTGTCTGCAAGGTGGCGTGGACCAGGCTGGTCCGCTGTCTTCTCCTGCTCAGGGATCGCGTGGTCCTCGGGAAGGAAAACAAGGTGATGGCTTCATCTGGATTTTTGGTACTGCAGCCTTGAAAACGCTCCGCAGCTCAGGAGCCCTCTCTGGAAAATGAAAAGTAAAACAACGTGACTTTTGTGAGCGTGCTTTTGCCGAAGACGCAATAAATAAGGAGACTGAACGGCACGGGAGCAATTTACTGCCACAAATGGTTTTTCACTCCGAGTGAATTGGGAAGATATCCAAAGTTTGACCTCTGAAAATGAAATTATTAGCCTGGCATGGGAAAAAATGATCCAGAGCCTCCAGCTTTTAAGCCTCCTCCTTCCATCCATCCCCAGCTTGCTTTTAACCAAACATGCCGGCGCCTCTTGCCAAATACGCGGCATAGTGCTACTGAGATGCGGACAAGTGTCTGCTGCTGCCCAGCGCTGCCAGTCGGCTTTAATTTTACCAGCGGGCCCTTTGCAGACATGAATCAGGCTGCTTTCGAGGGCTGGACCCAAACCAGGGCTCCACTTGTGATTAAATGTTTGAACGAAGCAGCCAACTGGCATGGGAGCCTGCGAGCTGAGCGGGGCCGCGTCACATGAAGGCAACTTGATTTCTTCACCCTCAGCGTAATTCATGAAGATGCTGCAAGCAGGGAAAAATGAAGTCATTTTCTCACCCTTTTGCAAAATGATGATTTTTTTTTTTAGTTCAGTGGATTTTTTTTTTTTCCCCTTTCTCCTGGGTTTCTGCAGTTTCCAGCCACGTGCTCCCCGTTCTTGCGTGGTTTGCTGTAAGCTCATGTCGTGCGTGGCCAGGGACATGGGTTTGCTGACTTGTCAAGAGGTTTGGAGCAAGCTATGGGGACAATGTAAAGACCTGAGCAGGGAAAAGGATGGAAAAAGTCTCTGCCTGTCCCTGTGATGGCATCCACCCCAAAATCATTGCAAACCTCCGCCTCTGCAGGTACAACCCTGGCCCCACACCACTGTGCTTGGACTAGGTGGTCTGGACAGCTGATGGCCACCTCCTTTGAAGGTACAACTTGGTGAATCATGTGCTTGAAGCCATCAACTTAATGAGGAGCTCAGGGCTGCCGGCAGACCTGTATAGCTTGAGTTGGAAGGGACCCATAAGGATCATCATAGACCCTTAGGGGTCCTCAGGTAGGGCTGCCCTTCCTGATGGTCATGTGGACCAGCCATGGTAGAGCATCACTTGGGTTCACCCTGGGGATGGTCAGAAGCTGGAGGAGGGACGGAAGCCCACCACAGTGTATTCATATGAGTTTGGCCTAGTTGGTGGGAGAAATATGTTAAGTAGGTCGCATCTTCAGCTTTGTCAAGGTGGGACAACGCTGGTCAGGCTCTCTAGACCACTGTCACCAGGTGACAGTGCAGAGCATGGGATGGCTTTTAGCATCATTGTGGTGGTGGACACCAACAAATTCATTCTGGGGACCCTCTGCTATTCATTGAGGAGTTCTTCCAGCAGTGTGGCGGGGTCAGCACCCACTAGCTTGCCCAACCACGTGGCAAGCAGCAGAAGCTGGGCACCATGCCTCGGAAAACAGCCCTCTGCCCTCTCCCCATGTCCCCAGGGTGCTGCAAGGTTTTTAAAGACCCATAAATGCTTCAGGGGCCATAAATGTCTCCACTGCCATCGTGCAACGTAATCACCCAAACTACTTCAAATCCCCCTGATGACATAACCTTTTAAATCACCTTCAGTTTTTAGTGGGGCTGTAAGCACTGAAACCATTAATAACACACATGGGCAGGCATGTGATTTTTTATGAAAGAACTTAAGCCCCGACGTGTCCCTCCAGCTCATTGAGGCTTGGGGATATGCCACCGGAGAGCAGAAGCAGCTCCCAGGCTTTGGTGGGAGTTACGGGGTCTGGATTTCTGCAGGTCCAACCAGGGTCGGAGCTTGGTCCTGCAGGACCAGGAGACGCTTTTTGATGTGAACATTAAGGATGACTGAACTGGGTGATTATGGCCACAGTTTGTCCCACAGGTCCTGCTGCAGGCTGGCCTCATCCTGCCAAAGAGTTGGTGTGTAACTAAGGGTTTGGAGATGGAGGTGGTTGATAGGGACCTGCTAAAATCTGGGCAGAGGCAAGATCTCTGACGAGGATCTCCTTCACCAGTTGTGCTGGGCACCATCGCATCCCTCTCCTTGTGCCGTGGCAAGGTTAAACTCATGCCAGTATACGCAGGGTTGGATTGTTTCTGGGGCAGACACCTCCAGTTCAGGAGCATGGCTGGAAACTGGCTCTTCTCAGGATGATAGGGTCAGGGAGGAATAGAAAAATACATGTCTTTGTGCTTTTGGGGGCAAAAAGTGGAGGAGGTGGACTTGCTGTCCCCATGGACAGCCCCATAAATGAAAAGCATGGTTCAACCCACTCCAAACAGATCAGTGCCACATCAAGCTCGGTAAAGCCAAGGGGCTGAGCCTGGTGGGATGGGGCAAGCCAGCATGGTCCTGCTCCTTAGGGCTGATGCTGGGCTGCCTGTGCACTGATAGGACTTGTTCAGAGGTCCTTGATAGAACGAACTGAAGCTCTTAGGGGGAGCAAAAGGTTTTCTTTCAGAATGTGTTTCTACCCAAAAATGTCTTTTTTTCTTCTTTTTTTTGGGTAACAGTGAAAATGTCTCCTAAACTCAGGCTCTCCTATCCCTTTCCCCCGACTCACAGACCTTCTGGGAAAAATTCAGTCTCATAGCATCACCCCGAAACTACCTGTCCATCTTCAAATGGGCATTTCTACTGACATATTTGAGAGATGCAACTCTAATTTATGCCTCAAAACCATTCTGTTCCTTCCTTGCAAAGGGAGTCCAGCTTGCTCAGAGGAGTTGCCAGCTGGTCAGATAGGTCCCAGGCTAAAAGAAACACCAAATCATGGCAAAAAAATGGCTTTTGGGGAAAGTATTCAGCCTGGGGTTTGGTGGATGGGATGTGGCCATCAGCTGCTCATGGGGGACAGCATGAAGGCACCTAGCTGTCATAGAATCATAGAATGGTTCGAGTTGGAAGGAACCTTGAAGATCCTCTAGTTCCAACCCCTGTGCCCTGTGCAGGGACACCTCCCACTAGACCAGGTTGCTCAAAGCCCCATCCAACCTGACCTTGCTCTTCTTATCAGGGAGAGAGGAGACCTCTCCCAAGGACCGTTCCTTTATCTCACATAGCTTCTCCTGGTTGACTTTCAGGGCCGGATATGTTCTGCGACTTCAACGGCAAGAAATACAGCCCGGGCGAGAGCTGGCACCCCTACCTGGAGCCACAAGGGCTGATGTACTGCATCCGCTGCAGCTGCTCCGAGGCACGTCCCCCATGAGGTTCCACTGGGTTTGGTGGGGCTGCTACTGCCTTGGGGCATCACTTTGGCAGCTTTTAAGCAGATCAGTTCTGGTGTCTAATTTGACCAGAGAAGCCCTTTCCAGTCCCACAGGGACATTGGATTAATCTCTTTCCTTCTGAAAAATCCCCGTGGGTTTGTTGGGTTGACTTTGTGAGGGAGCTGTCTTAGCAGTGCCAGTGGGCTGTGGGTGGAGGTGGCTCAGGGTTGCTGTGGGACCACAAGTGATCTTTGATGATGGTGAGACCATGAGCTGGCTGGGTTTGAGCCGGGGATGGAGATGTCCTTGGCTGGGTGAGCTACACCAGCACAATCTGTCATGATAAAGTGGCCATCATCCAACATCTTACTCCTCGTGCAGGGGTGAACATGTAGCTGACCAAACTGTCTTTCTCTCTATCTCTCCCCAGAACACCAACATCAGGTGCTACAGGATCCAGTGCCCGGCTCTGCAGTGTGCCAGTCCCATCACGGACCCCCAGCAGTGCTGCCCACGGTGTCTCGGTAGGTGGACATCCAGTGGGGAGGAGATGACAGGGTGGCCGTGGTCCTGCAGGGCATCCCTCAACAGCAGTCACTTGAATGCTCACGCTTGGAGCAGCGCAGCGATGCTGGCGCTGGCCCTGCTCATGGGCTCATGGCAGCAACGGCAGCTCGGGCTGCTCACATTGCTTTTTGCCCCCAAAAAAGTAATTTTGATGGAAAAGGTCTCTCTACCAGACCACTTTCTCCAACTTCCCCCTCCATGATCCCGAGAGCCTTGTAGGGACAAAATGTCAGTTCACAGTTTGGGCGTAAACCAGAAGCTGGCACTTTATTCAGACCATTTGCCAGCAAAATGTGCTGGATACAGGAAAAAAAAAAAAGGAAGATTTTTAAACACAGTTCTTGAATTTTTCCCTCCCCTGGATGTAATGACCTTCATCATCAGATGAAGTTGGGTAAAAAGGGCTTCTCCAATGGGCTAAAAATTAAAAATACTTTTTTTTTTTCTGATTTTTTGTTTCTAATTTCCCAAATTGCCAGTAGTTTTTGACTAGCTTTGCCGCCACTCTGGCATGGCAGGGGACAAGACCCTGGGAGGTCAGACTTCCAGGTTTTCCCTGTGTGCTGAGCTCAGCGCGGTCAGGGCAGCCCCGTTCTCCAAAAGCATTTCGGCCATGCAATGTCCTGGCCACTTCTTCTTTATACCTGCGGTGTGTGAAGGTCTCCTTATCCTTTTGGGTTGGGCTGGTGGGGAATCTGCTGGGCATCCATGCTACATCGGGGTCAGGCAACGGCTGACTCTTATCCCATCGCTTTCTCCTCTTCTTTTCCAGAGCCGCATTCCCCTTCTGGCCTCCGGGCACCCATCAAGTCCTGCCAGTACAACGGGACGACCTACCAGCAAGGCGAGATGTTCACCACCAGCGAGCTCTTTCCCAGCCGCCAGCCGAACCAGTGTGTGCAGTGCAGCTGCTCCGTAAGCTACCTGCGAGTCCGTGGGAGGTGGGGAGGGTTCAGGGTCGGCTCCTGCACCCCAACAGTGTCCCACCAGGTCAAAAACCTCATGAGGATCATGGCATGGTAGCAGCCCATGGTGGGATGGTTTATCGTTAGGATCGGGTTATCAGTGCAGTAGATTGAGCTTCCTCTGAAATGGTGCTGGGTCCTCCCTGCCCAGTGACTAAGGACCACCACAAAGCTGGGTGCTTCCCCCTCTGACCGGGTGCGTTGTCTGACCTTGACCCTGAGCAGGGTGTGCTGCAAATGTCTGCTTGTCCCTGGGGTCAGAGCCCAAAGCACTCGCCAGCATCTCCTCCCTGGTGGGAACAGCACAAATAAGCCACTCCAAGGGTGGGTTATTCACTGGAGATCCCACAGGCCAGTTCTGGGTGGACCCTGCTGGGGCTCCTTGGGGTGGGCAGGGGGACATCCTTGTCCCCATTGAGCACACCAATGGGTGCATTTGCCTGCTGTGAGAAATAGTGCTCTGGGGCTGTCCCCGCAGCATCCGTCTGTCCCACCAGGCCCACTGAGGCATCGTATGGCAGATGGCCAGCAGATTGGACAACCGGGAGGCTTTCCCTGTACATGCTTGATGGAAAGCAGATGGGGTTTGTAGCCATGGGGGTCTGGGGGCTCAGTGTGCCTGCAAGGCAACGTGGACATGAGGTGGGCTTCAGAAGTTCTTGGGATGTCCAGTCCGGTGTTAAGCTGGTGAGATTGAGCTGAGCTCCAGTAAGGATTTGGTGGCTCCCAACTGCTGCTGGGTGACTGGGTCTTGTGGTGCCTTCAGCAGCCAGCTGCTACCCTGCATGGCTGGAGCTCATCCCCCAACGCAGCCAGGAGATGACAGCAGAGAGTGGAACCTAACAGTCAGAGATGGCAATGGGCAGGCACCTAGCAATCTTCAGTCTCTTTGCTTGGATTTAAGTGGAAGCTTGAACCCAAGGCTGAGATGTGCTTGAGCACCAGGAGCTGGTCTCTTCTGGAAACTCCTGCAGTGTGTTCATGAGCCCACTGGGCCATTGTGTGCGGAGCTGTGCCCTGGAGAAGGGCTGTGCGTGTGCCTTCCAGGCTGTCTACAAAAAGCGTTTGCAGGAAGCATCTGCCTTCCACACTGAGTTGCATGACCATTGCATGCCCATCTTCCTTGATGGTCCTGGTTGCCCTACATGAGGGCTGCGACAGCGGCCAGGATGCTGTGTTGTCCTCAGCATGCATGCCCATGGTGGATTGCCCGTCCACCATCCATTGCCAGCACCGGAGGGACGTTCCTTCTCTGTGAGCCTCCAGCAATGCCCTGAGACAGGGCTTGGCTCCGCTTTGCCCAACCCTCAGGCTGGGATCCTGCAAAAACCCATCAAAAACCGAGTCCTGACGCTTTGCTTGGGAGACGTGAGGCAGCCTGGCCAACGGCGATGGGGAAGGTGTGTGGAGCGCTGGGTCGTGTGTGCCAGGAGCTGAGTGTTGGGAGATAAATGGAGCAGCTCCTCCTCCTTCAGAGGGAGTGAGGAAGAGGGATTGAAAGCGTCGACGCTGGACTTGGACGCTATGGGGAACTGCTCATACTGGCTGCAGCCTCTGCTGTAGAAAAGAAGAGGGTTGCAGACGTGGCTTTCACCACCCATTGCACAGAGCCCTTGGATGGGACCAGGCTCCACTGCTCTGTGCTTTGCTTGCAGCAAATAGTTGGACTAAGCTTGGCCAGGAAAGAAAAAGTGGGGAGAGAGACCCCAAACCACCTGCCTCTCTCCTGCCTTGAGCACGCACACGGTGGTTACCATCAGCTGATGCTTGAGAGTAAAGTATCCGTGATACCAGAACTGCTCCGAGCCTTTGGTGCTTGTCCACACCTCGGAGCTAAGTGGCTTGGAGCTAGGTGGCAAGAGGAATAGTTTAGACGTAGAAATTATACAGCTTTTGAGGCTGGTTCCTCTTTTACGGACCCCAACTGAATGCCAGCCTACCATGCTGGGGAGAAATGCCGGGAAGGAGCCCTCGTATCTGACTGTATGTGCCCCCCTGGCTCTGCTATCCCATCCACCACCATCCCCAGCAGCCTGCGGTCCCTCGTGTCCCTCTCAGAGGCACTGGCTCTCACTCAGGCTCTGTTTATTCGGCAGGATAATGCCTTGGATACGAAGGGGAAAATAAAAGGATGGCTGTGGAGCCTTGCAGCAGCGGGGTCTCGCCGGGCTGTGTCTGATGTTGTCAGCTGCTAGAACAGCTGCGTGAACAGCTGGTCTAAACCTCTTTGAAAACTGCCCCGAGAACCAGAGCCTCCGGGATAAATCCTGCTCTTTATGACATTTGCACTTTCCTGCCCGAGGCAGGTCTTCGCTGTGAGCTTCTGGTCAGAAGGAGAAAGAAGGAAGAGGCTGCGTGGCCAAACCCCGCTCCCTGCAGGTCTGGCCCCCATGCAGGTCCCTGAAGCAGGGAGCAGGGTTTGGTTTGCAGTGACCTCCACCAGATCCTCTCATTTATCAAACTTTCTTCCTCCTCTACACATCCCCTGCACAGCGGCTTGGCTTCCTGATGGTAGAAGAAGCTGCTGTGGTTTGGTTTTCTAAGGAAATCCTTGGTTAACCTCTTGGTTTTGGTTGACTGAGAGCTTGTGGATACCCCAGAGGAAATTGCTGCATGGAGAAGAGGACCTTGCTGGTGAGGTCTGGCTGCTGCTGGGCTGCTTGAACAGCCTTTTTTTTCACCCTTCTGCAAAGCAGCAAAAACTTAGCCCTGCAGCAAACGGGTGCAAATCTGTTGACTGACGTAGGGCTGGGATGCACTGAGGTCAAGACTGGCTTTGGCCTGTGGTTTTCAGCTTGAACGCTACAGCAATGGTGTTTACCAAACTAACCACCAAGCCAACAGAAGAAGGTCTACACCTGAACGTCCATCCACAACTCCCAACCCAGCATCTTTGTGTGCTTGGCCCTGGTGTTATCAAATAACCCAAGACAGAGGGAAGGCAGAGCTACAGGGCGGACCTGGGTCTGGGTTCAGCACCAGACTTCCCCTGTCCACCTTTCTTCTGGGTCCTTGTCCTGGAAGATGTCAGAGAAAAGGTTCTTGTGCCACATTGAATTGGTGGGTGTCATGCAGAGTTTACAGGTGTGTGGTGGCTATTTCAGATCTGGTAGCACTAATGATAGCTGAGAGCAAGGCACTGCCTCCCTCTTTTTGGGGAAGACCACTCCACTCATGAACAAGTAGACTGGCAATCGGTGGACCAGCTGTGCCAGGAGAGGACACAACCCACCGTGCTGTACCCCACAGGATGGAGAGGGCAGCAAGGGCAGACCTTCAGCTTTTATCAGTCACTAGATGATTGGTGATATCTGAGGATGGACTATTGGTGGGGCTTATGATTTGTGCTAGATCTGCAATTTGAAGTGTTGGCACCCCAACATGGGGGACATCCACCCCTGTCCAGATCTTGATAGAGCTGACGATGCTTTTTTTTTTTTTGTGCTTCTGTCTCCTAGGAAGGCCAGATCTACTGCGGCTTGGTGACTTGCCCAGAGCTGTTGTGCTCCTCTCCCCTAACTGTGCCGGATTCCT